GGTTTGTTTCGGGATTTCCGAATCTCGCCAATAAGACTTTCGCCGATCGTTATGAGAAAATATTAGTTCAAGCAATAGATGTTGACTAAAACTGAGATTATTCCGTGATATTTAATCACAAGGATCTGTTCAAATATAACCGTTACTTGTCAAACAGGGGAATAAAAAAAGTGTGAATAGAAAATACATCACAAAAGAATATAATCATGATATGACGCTATTGATGTATCTGAGGCATCAGAATGTGTAACATTATGCTTTTTCTTTTTCGCTCTTCGTCCAACTCCAACTGGTTCACCAACTAAATGAGACAATGATGAAATCGTATCCGATAAAGATCTTGCTTTCGATTCCAAAAGTTTCAATAATTTGTCGATTTGTTTAGTTTTCTTTGCTGCTTTCCGTGTTGATTTCGTTTCTTTTAAAGAAGAAAATCCTGATCCGGTTTGTATCATGCGGTGAGAAATAACAGCCTCCTCCTGTTTCAGGCATTGAATGAACCTCCATAAATTCGGATGAGGTTGAACAACACTTGAAGAAAATCGTCTGTTTTGCCCTAAATAAGAAATAATTAAATACCAAAATATCATTTTAAAAACTTCATAATGAAGTTTTGAAGATTAATTATTCACCTTCGGCAAAGTTATTGGTTCTCCAGGTTTTTCTGCACACAGACCATGTGGAAGGCAGAAAATTCCGCATCCATTCATTCTCAAAATAAGAAGTAAACTCTTCAAATTGCAGTTTACACTCAGACGAAAGAATTTTGTGTTTCAAGAGTTCGAAACCTTCGAAAATCCAACCAATCGGTAGCAACGCTAATGCCATAAAACTGCGTAATAATTCGCGTGCCTCAACATCATCATCATATAACGTCATCAGGCCGAGCTTTTGTATGTTGCGATAATTTGCCTGGCAGAAGTGGAACCAACAGTTAGTAACCTCTGTACCCGGAAGCTGTCGGAGAAACAAGGAAAAAAAACAAAGCTTACTATGTAATCGACGTAAAATGAGGGAGAAATATACTTGTTCATTAATAACATTAATAAATGCGCGCTCAAAGTCGCATACGATAGTAGTCGGTTTGAAATCAAGATTCATTTTGGCTGCTGTTTTGTGCAGACACCGAAATATAGCTGCATATGTTTCATCTCGTCTGTTCGATGTAAGAGCAAAACAGACAGGAATGCCTAGAATATGAATTGTAATCAATAAGTGCATGCCGACTTTCTTCTCCTTCTATTCTCTCAATAGATATACATTGGTCAGTTTACCTCTTTATTGACTTCCCGAGTAATTAATTTTTCTCTTTTTCGTTCGCTTTCTTTTCCTCTTTCCCTCTCCATCGGTCTTCCGATGAAAACATTAGTAATCGGCCACTGTAAGCACTTTTTCTTTTATCATATAATAGAAAGTGACCATTGCCATATGTTTGTTTGTAATCATCAGGTATGAGGAATTTCTGATCAGTAGGTATTGGTGGAAGTGCTTTTCGGCGATATTTTTGAAGACCAGACTCTAAATGAGAAAGTAGAGAAGAAGATTCTTGTGAAAGAAAATTGATAAATTAATTCACCAATTTGTGTTGGCAGTGGCATTGCTCGTTTTTCTTCATCGGACAACTTTGCCTTTCTGTATTCTTCTTCTATTATCACTTTGATCGGAGCAAACTCGTCCAGGACACGATGCTTTATCTTCGATACAATTTCCCGTCTTCTTGTGTCAGCCAAATCGATTGCATGGCAGTGGAATTTTCCATTCCAATGACTGAACAGACCATTACTCTTGAAAGTGTATATTACCGCTTTGCAATTTTCATTCCGTCTCACACAACGCCACCCAATACAATCTTTTGTTTCGTTCATATAAATCATTTCACCATCTCGCGTCGATGTACCACATGTAATTTCGCCGCCAACAACCGGTTTACTGATGGCATCATCATCATCGCTATCCAGTGACACCCTTGATACAATTGGTACAGCGGTTGCTCCAGTTTCCGATGTTGTTGAAGTTGTTTGAGGATCCTACAGATGAAGAGATTCGATTAATTATTCATGATATGTTTGTTTACCTTTTCTTCATTTATTGTTGACGACATGATTTCTTGATCGAAAAATAGGCTTTCAATCGATGTATCCATCGTATCATTCTTCTTGCTGTTGTCATTGTCAAGATGAAGAACTATTTGATCTGTTGAGTGTTGCTCCACGACAGGACGTACTTCAGACGCAACAAGAGTCGCCGGTAGCGGTTCTTCCTGCGTTTTTGTTTGTTGTTGTTTCCGTGACCGTGATCGTCCTTTTTTCTTAATGGAGACTCTAGCTGAAGCCATATTGTCCTTCTTAATTCCAGATTTGAAAGCAGCAGCACGTGTTGTAACCGGCATTTGTCAATGATTATCTAAGATGGTTTTTAAAAAAGGATAACAAAATAATGGAATATCACTAAATAAACTTATTGTTGAAAATCATTGTCATGAGTGTAAGTCATATGGTAGCTGGCGAAAGTCTTATTGGCGAAGTTCGGTAGGTTATCATTTTCCACAAATCTCGTTCCCAGAATACATCCACAAGTAAAATCCACAATTGTGGATAAATATCCATG